TTAAATTTAAAATAAATCCTTTACTATACGTGTGCATCTGCATTGCGCGCTTGTGTTTTGTGTATAGGTGTTCATGTGGCTTCGTATTGGGGATAATTTGTTGTTAAGACCTTAACTATACATGTACATTGTATGCAAGTTGAAGTTTTTTTTTATCATTTATCATCTATTATTAATTTTTTAGAGTGCGTTGATTTTTAATATCATTCTTTTCGTAATGTTTAAGTTGGAATATCATAGTTTCATAATTGTAATGATCATGATCTCTATCTTACGCCTTATTCCATTCTATTCTGTTTAAGCATTATAAATGCTTGGAACTTTTTGAAAATGTTATGATGGCGTGCTTGTGGCGTAAAAGTGTGGGATCGGTTTCGAATCGTTTATCGTTGGCTTAGTGATTAATTTATCATCTTCAATCTATTTAACATAATTTCGCGAGAAAAAATAAAATTTTTAATGAAAAGATGAAAGAATGTGTCTTATTTTCCAAAGGCATATATATACCACCTATATAAATACATACAGTGAAGTTTAACTATAACGATTTTTGTCCTTTGTTTGTTTCATTACGGCTGCAAGTAATATTTAGAATTATTTTACACGCTTCGCTTAAAACAGAAAATATATCGATTAGTAAAAGCACGAATATGAATAAAAAAAATCATTGCATCAACCAGCAAACATGAGTGAGTACGACGCGATCATTTTCATATGAAATTTTTAAATCATTTTAGTAAACGTTTATGTCGTAATAATCCTTGCAAATGTATTGGGAGAAGAACGGATAACTCGGCTTAAAAACTGATTGCATTGAGTACTCGAAAGAGAAATGATGAACAGATACACAGCTGTAAGCAGTACGCAGCTGTATACTGTTATTAGCCTCAGACGTTATGTTAATTGTTCGTACCTGATCATTTGGTTGCAGAAAATAAACAATTTTTTTAATGCTCAAAAATAAATAGCGGAAATTAAAAGAGTGAAAGGCATGGTTGGCATGGCGTATGCACAAGTTTTTTGTTTTTAAATTCAAAAGTCTCACTGTATACATTTATATGTCATAGATCTTTTCGGTTTTTTGTTTTCTTTTTTTTTTTCGCTCTTAGTGACATAGAATCACATACGGGTAAATACTTTGTATTGGGAGTAAAAAAATGTACATAATTTAATCAAAATGATGTGGTTTCCCAGGAAGAAGGAGTGTTAAGAACAAATAAATTGTCAGAGAAGTTTTGTAACTACCAGTACACTTCATAATTGTGAAAGACTAACCGTTATGCCATTTGAAATTATTATAAATTTTTTTTTTTTTTTTTTTTTTTTTTTTTTTTATATACTGAATTTAATATGTTGGTTGTATTTACATAAATTCACATAAGTATATCTGTGGGTACATATTTTGAAATGGCGTCTCTTATGATTCTCTAATAACAAAATGGCATTTAAAAAAAAAAAGCTTTAATTAAATATGGCACATACTGGAGATTTAAACCAAAATCACAGTTATCCGAGTGAGTTTACATATGTAAAGAAAATGAAATGACAAAAAATGCGTGCAGGGAAGGAAAACCCAAGAAAAATTAAACTCGATTGGATAATAGGGTTCATCTTAACATATCGTTTGATTGGTACTTATGATGGCATTTGTTGCTGTTGCGGTAATTGCTGTGATGGCTGTTGATGTTGTTCGTGCATTTGCTGTTGTTGAGCGGTTGTGGACGTTGGACTACTGTTGCCCTCCTGGTATGGCCCCGTAACCACACATGGGTGCATAGGAAACAGGGTTGTCCACGAAGTTGTTGTTAGCGTTGGTGCGCGGAGGGCAACTTTCTCGTTTTTTGGCTCATTGCCTGATTGTGGGTTGGAATTTTTTTTTGTAGACTCTTTTTTCTTTTTACTAACAGATACTTGGCTGCTATTATTTTTGTTCTGATTGTTACTTGTATTGTTGCTGTTAGTGGTACCTTCTTTTTTCGGGGTATTGGCTTTTGCAGGGTTTGCTTGTGTCATTTCTTCGTCGTCATCATCAACCTCGGCGTCACCATTTTGTTCTTTTTTAAGCTTTTCTTTTTCTTCTTTGGCCTTGTTGTCTAGGTCTGTATTAATCTTTTTGACGCGCATTTTCTCCTCCCATTCGTCAATGCCATGATGCGTACGATTCAGATTGCGATGCTGATAGAAAATTAAAGTCATTCGAGTTGGTTCATGACGATTTGGACGACGTAGAGCGGTAGTTGCATGCATCTCATGTTTTGCACATTCGATAAGTACACTGCCGTGATTAAGTGCTATTGCAACGCCACCCATTTGGGGATCCTGGAGAGCTTCCAAATTGTCATTGATTTCAGCTACTTCGCCGATCGGTTCAATTTTATTTGAGTTAGCAGATGATGTTGTTGTAGTAGAAGTTTCAATTGGAGCGCTTGAAGTAGTAGCAGAATTTGCGTTGTGATTATTGGTTGTTGCGGAAGTTGTACATGTAGCGGGGATTCCAGTATTTACTTTATCAGTTTCTATTGTCACAGCTACTATAGTATTGTTTGTATCGCTACATGTTGTGCCAGAGTTCGGATTGCTGATGTCTGTAAGCGTAGTTTGGGGCGGTGTTTGCGAAATTGCTGTCGCAACTGGCATAGTCGCATTTGCGTTTTTTATAGATTGCAGCCCTGTTACAGGTTTCATATTACCGCCATTTGGTAATACCGTTTGACCTACATGAGAGCTGGTATTATTCAAAGGAGTAATGGGTTGATGGTGTGATACATTCGTTGCAGGAGGCAGGGGGGTAGAAGCTGAATATGTTGCCGGCGCTGTAGCATTGGCGCTTTGATGATGACCGTACATATTCCAATTTGGTGACGGCGGGGGCGGTGTAGGTGGTGGCGTCTGCTGTGGATACATCCCGTACGGTGAGTAAGCCTGATGATAGCCATAATTATAATTCATATTTTGATACGCATCATAGGCCGAATACGCTGAATGAGGCGGCGGATACATTTGGTAGTTATTCGGATACTGAGAGTATTGATAATCTGTGGGCGGTTTTGGCTTGACAAAGCCTTCTTCAATTGGATTTGTATGGGAATGTGGGGGATGATGTTGTTGAGTCGTTAGATTAGTCATAGGTGTCATTGGAGTAAGAGTAGTCAACTTACTTTCAGACAAATTGTTATTTCCCAGAGTTGTTGAATCAGGATTTTCCTCGCTGCCCCGACTTTTCACTTCACCACGTACGTCGTGAACTTGTGTGAGTTGCTGACTGCCTGCAGTCGGCATATTATTGTAGGCATTTGTGTTATAATTGTTAGGGTCGTGTTGAGCACCTGTTGAGTGATGAGTTGGATTGTGATTGTTCGGAATTGGAGGTGCCATGGGGGTATTGGCAGTTGTCGGAGTTCCAATATTATTGCCACCATTACCAGTTAAGTTGCCTACATTATGAGCACTTGCGTGTGGAGGGTTATGAGGGTGGGGCGGTGGTGGCCAGTTGCCATAATAATTGCGTGAATCTATATAGGAACCCGTTTGATAGTCGTATGAGTAGGGCGAATCCAGCACCGTGCTTGAGATCTGGTTAGATTGTAGTTGGGCATCAGTGAAGGTATCAATCATGGTCGCCATATTCATCAGACTTGTATTGGACGTCATGAGTTGATTGGTGTTACCTCCAGAAGCATTATTATTAGAAGATTGGTTCGAAAGATTATTGTTACTGACCGGCGGTGTAGTAAATGCACTTCCCGCTGGGCTTGGATTATTGGTAACAGGCGTCTGGCAACGCGGAGATGGAGTAGAAGGCGGTGCCGAGGAACTTGTTGTTGTAGATGATTGATTCGATTTAGATTTTGACTTTGATTTATTGGCCACAACGTTACCATTTGTAGGGGCAGCGGTATTAGTATTGGGATCTTTTTTATTTGCAGCTTGTGAGTTGTTTACAGCACTTGCCGGAGTTGGAGTAATGGTTGCTTGTGTTACCGGTACTACGTTATTATCTCCATCTCCTGCTGGTGGCGTTTCATCCTCTTTGCGTTTCTTCCCATGCCGACGGCAAGGTATTAGAGGTGTTGAACGGACTCGTACTTCGCAGGGAAATCTACATTAAATAAAGAAAGGATATTTCTTATTAAAATCAGCAACAGAATATTTAAGTATAAAAACTATAGCATATATATAGTACAGAATGAAATGTCAACTCTACACTCACTTGTCCAGGACTTGAACAGCTCCAAGGCGATGCTTTTCCCTTTGCCCTTCCATACTCTCGAATTCGTCCGTTGTGTCCATTGTGTATAAGGGCAATACATGTAACTGTTCATCGTCTGGTTTATTGCTGTCTCGATTTGTCGCTTTTAAGAGAGCGACTTGTACCGTACATCCATCCTGCATATTATGCAGATCACGATGGGAATGTGCACAGAAATCTAGGCAGGCAGTCACGCCCGAAAAGGGCTTTCCATCTTTCAATCCTAAACGACAGTCTTGTGCTTCCTTTTCGTAACGCGTTTGATTGACATAGGAACGTGGACATATTTGTTTGAAGAGTGGTGCCAATACGGTGGCCAGAACATTCATATGCTCTTCAATAGCAGGCTCTTCGCTTTTGACTGATAAGCGAAATTTACGTACTGTCTTTGAACGTGCATATTTACAACCATTATAGTACATAGACCAGGAACAACCAAAACTGTAAGAGGCTCCCGACGTTTCTGGGTCGAGACCTGCAAGCATAAAAGGATTATTGGACTGCAATGTTGATCGTAAAGAAGTTTTACCTTGGCAAGCGCAAGTTCGATTTTCGTTAGTGGCACACCGACGTGTTGTGGGTAGACCAAATTTATTAAGTTTAGGGATAAGATTTTTATAGGCATTATCCGCTTCAAGGCGGGGCATTCCTTCCCAGGCTACCATACATACTACTATGTAAGCAGCTGTGCATCTTGTGATATAGTATTAAATTTTGAGTTGTCCATGTGCGAAATTTACTTTTGTATACTTACCTGTGACCTGGCCGCTTCTTTACAACGACTAGAATCTTTTCCTCAGGGTCGGCTCGTCGTATAATCCATTTAGCTAAGGGACAGCCAGTAGACGTTTTACCTTCTTTTCCAGTATATATAATTTTTTCGATACGAAGTTGGCGTCCAGATATTTGACAACGCTCTTCAAATTCCTTACGCAAATCAGTCAGATTCGATGCAGTGCCTTTGAATAAGATTTATTATTACTACAAAGAGATCTGGCATATTTTGTCCTTTTGTGCACCTACCTAAGTGAGTGTAATATGTTCCTGGTTCAGGTGGGCTTTTATCTGATTGAAAGCAATCACATTCAGGAACTTCAGTTTTATTGCCTTTTTCTAATCTATCGGATGTATCAAACATTGGGTTAATTTTTTCATGTTTCACGACAATTTCATTGTTTTCTTCTGGTTTGCTGCTCTTTTTTTTAGGTTTTGTCCCATTATTGCTCTCCTGATCTTCTTCTTCGACCAGAATTTCGTCTTTTGTTTGCATTCCAATGCAAGAGCCATCTTTGAGATGTTCCGCTGTTGGAGCCCTGGTGCCACCTTGGCGGCAACATGAAAAACCAGTACTTCCTTTAATGGCTGCCGGGCCACCTTCGCCGTGAAAAGGATAACCAATGCTTCCATGGGCTGTATGTGAGTGCGCGTACCCAGTGCCCATGTCTTCAATTTTGGGTTCTATCATTCCGGGTCCTAGATGAGGTGGGCCCAGCGGATACCGATGGGGTGGTATGGGATATGCGTGGGCTGGTATATCTTTCTCATAATTGGTTGGCAGCGGTATAATGCTGCTAGTATCCGATTTTCTATCTACTTCCATTAAATGGTTACCATGATGATGTATAGCACCTTTTGGTATGGGACCATTCATTGTTTTGACATGTGAAGCAATAGCGTTAGTGTGATGAGAATGGAGGCTGTGCGTGTTGCTGAATGCAGGCGTTGCTGTCGCATGCTGGTACCCAGGCATAAAATTTTGTTGATAATTCTGCTGAAACCCGGTCGAACCGTAGTAACCCGAATTGTGATGGTAAGTGGGGTAATCTTGTTGACTTTGGTGATGAGGTTGCTGGGGTATATGCGGTCCTGGTTGTGTCTGAACTTCATTTTGACAATAGTCGGCGTATTGAACAAAGTTTTGATAATTGCGTTCGTATCCCTCCATCTTATTGTGTTGTCCGGGCAATAAACCTGGCTCAGATTTAATATAGGGCGTATGATAATCTGGATGTTGTGGTGTGTAATGAGCCGGTGGATAAGTTGGATTTTTCTCCATTTTCATGTTTGCTAAATGGGATAGGTGATGGCCTCCTCCTGGATCATGGCTATTTTTATCAATATCTGAATTATCGGTCGAATTAGAGTTAGAGGAACGACTACTTTTACTTTTACGACTGGATTTTTTTGGTTCAGTGTGAGCTGTGGTTGTATGCTGCGGTTGCTGGTGATGGTGATGATGTTCTGTACTTTGAAAGCCGGATGCTACGGGTTTTTTAAAGGAATTGGCATGGTGTGGCTTCCAAATGTGATCGCCACCACCTCCGATTGGTTCAGGTGCCAAAGAACCTCCAGCAGTTAAAGAACCAGCGTTTGCAGGTGTTTGAATTCCTGGTGGTTGTTGTTGGTGTTGTTGTGGTTGCTGGGATGTTAATTGTGGAGGTACACTGCTTGAACCGTTAGCGTTCAATAACGTTTCGCTTCGGAGATGGTGGCTATACGATAAAAAATGACCGGTTTGCTGTTGTTGAGCGGTGTTGGCAGTATTGCCTCCTCCAACAGGAGGAGGCGGTGGCAGAGTGCCGGGCATGCCGTGAATATCGGAATTACTTGTACCCGAAATTAAATCCTTTGGATCGTTTTTACGTAATATCATTGATTTGATACGGGTGTTAAGATTAAGACGCTCACCACCGGGACCTGTTTGTTGATAAGGATCTGTCGATGTTTGCGTTTGATTGGCCCAATTCCAGTCTTGTTGTTGTTGATGTTGTTGCGCTTGCGGTGGAGACGAGATATGATTTTGTGATTGTTGTGGAGGCTGCATGGTAACATTATGATGAGGTGATGCCGGAATTGTGGTTCCACCATATGATTGTTGTTGTTGAGAAGCCGCTGTCATATTTCCGTTCGGAGATTGAGGAATTTGGTTTGGTGATTGGGGGATATGACGTGACGCTTGGTGTGTTACAGAAGTTTGCGATTGTTGCATGACGTTACGTGTAGGTGACTGTGATACTGTTTGAGTGTTTGGAGCTTGCATGGGTGAGGCGGCTGGGGGAGCGACTGAAGCATTTTGTGTAACTGTTCCAAGTTGGCTACCATTAACTGCAGCAACTGTAGTATTTCCGGATGAGTTGTTATTTGGAGTTGCAGATGGTGAAGTTGCTGTTGATGAATGATTTGTAGGTTGTTGGGCGCCGCCATAATCGCCTGAATACCCATTACAGTTGAGTGAGCGCGGCGGCACGCTGCTCACTCGAGGATATCCAGGCATGTCGTTTCCCGACATTGTCTTGTTAAGATCGGGAACACTACCAATGTGTTGCTGTTGTTGTAAGCCAACACTAGGCGCAGTCGGTGTTGCAGATACTTGGCCAGCATAGGTGACAGCAGCTGGCGCGAAACCAACACCTTGTAAGCCAACTTGATTTATAGGAGCACTTGGCAATTGTTGACTTTGGAAATCATATCGTTGAACTGGTGCACCATAGGGCGAGCGACCATAATTTGGATCGAACCCTAGGCCTGTTTGAACATATCCATTGGATGGATAGCCATACGATTGTGTCTGGAAGTCGAGTGAGTTTAGTGACGTGATTGCTGGGGTGTTTTGAGGAATTTGCTGAATAAACTGGTTTTGCCACCCTTGAGAAGGATCTGTTTGCCATGTAGGATAGAAAGCCATTGGTGCCTGAAATTGCACAAAAAAAAATAAACCGTGTAAAAAAATTTTTGATTTCGATATATGTACCACATACGCAAACACTTAGTTTGAAAGCCATACGTATGAAAGCGTTTTGTTGGTCTTTTTTTGTTTAAAGTTGCGTTCTTTTCATTGCTGTGGTAAAATGGACGAGTTAAAAATTGTTACGAATTTCCACAAGTTTTTTATTTATTAAGCTTTCGTTTTTGTTTCTTCTAATGAAATTTTGAACTGTGGGCTATGTACGAATAAATAAATCTATTGTAGCGATCAAATGCAGGTTGTGTTTATACGCACATATCTTTTATTGCATGCAAATATTTTAAATTTGATATTACTATGAATGTATATATAATATATATATATATATATATATGTATCAAGTTCTATATGAACGGGTGTCAGTCTTTAAGCACGTGTGTAGTTTTTCTTTTGTTATCATGGCCCACAATGAAAATATATTCGGTTTATTTTCAAATAAAAACACGTTCACATCAACACTTCGAGACACACAGAAGCACGCGCGAAACGTAAATGATATATAGATATACATATATATGTATATATACATGTAACATACATATATAATATGTACGTCGTAAATGACGTTGACAATAGCAACAAGTTTGTTAGTGTTAATGAACGTTTATGTTATATAGACGGACATATGGGTTAAAATGTTGATGCATGTTCGCATAGGGTACATAAACAGATTTTAAAAATCATTTGTATATTTCGGTAAACAAAAACATTTTGATGTACAGCAAAAACACATATACGCGACATGTATGCACCTAAATTCCCGATATGTGTATTTATTATAAAAAATCAAATAATTTATAACATTTATGCAGCAAAATGTAAATTCTGTTAAGTTGCTTTTTCAATTTATGCGCATCTGTTACTTAGTATGTATAGATGCGCGGATAAACGACAGATTTAATAGCAAAAAAAAAAACAAAAAAATCGTATTACGTATAATTATGAATTTTTTTTCAATGCGATTAATGATTTAAAACGTAATAGTATGTAAATACTTTTAAATTACAAAAAAAAAAACCAAATCTCATTTGAAAGTTTTTTAGTTTTATTCGCAACTGGATGTAGCGATTATTTTAACGTATATGGGTGGAACCGTTTTGGAGATCTCATTAAGTTGATTTTGCATATGTAACTTGGGCGACATACGCTTTAGGTTTCGCCGTCAAGAAATTTCGCATGCGTGCTCTTGATTAAATTTGACAGACCGGTCAATAATCTATGTGCGACAAGTGCCAGAAAAAAAAAATAAAAATTTCCTAATACTTTAAAAATTATTTTATGATTTACTTCAGGCAGTGAGTGGGTGTTACAATTATTTTGTTCAATGTCTTGCTTTAAATGTAACAAGCACATCTTTAGTATTTACTATATAATAATACGATCAATGGAAAGAATTCGTAAGCGATTAAAGAGAAGAGTTGAGAAGAAAATAAAACGTCCTACATATTATTGCCTTTACTTCAAATTAATCCTTAAAAGTTTTTGATATTTAATTTTTTTTTCCTTTAGCTTAGTCACTGGTTAATCGGCATTGTTTTTCCTCTGAATGTGAGCCCTGAGTGATTGATAAATAAATATTTTAGATTAATATATGCTATGAGTATGCAAATTACAATTTTCGTCGTTGAGAACAGGATCATGCTAAACTTCAAAGTTGGCCGATGACTATATGTTAGCCAGCATTAGTTTTTTGTTTCAAAATTTGCGAATGTGAGCGTTCGTACAATAGGCAACATATACTAGGAAGGATAATACGTGATTATAACGAAATACGCTCAGATCAGATATGTATAAAGCAGAGTATCACGATGAGGAGCTGAATATGTTTAAACGTTCATATTAAATGACTTTTGTATCTGCACTTGCGTTTTGTCACCCTTTGTAGTAAACAGGATAGAGAAGTGAAGTGCATGAGTAACAATAAGAAAAATTTTAAAAATAAAACGCCTTCTAATAAGAAAATGTGAGTAAATCAAACATTAGGAGTTGTGAGCAATTGTAGTGTCATTTTCCGTGATTTTCGGATTAGGCATCATGTGCTCTACATAGTTTCGATACATTAGTAATATTATTGCAGGGAAGTTGTGAAAATTTTTACATATCAACGACTTAAATATTTTTAGATTTCGATGGACTTAATGTAGCAATTTTATCCATTATATAAAATTAAGTTTAAAAATTTGAAAGTGAAAACTCGCTTTGTTTTACTAACATAAATATTTGTCATTCGTCTTCGTGCATTGTACATTCCATAAAGGTTTTTCGGAGATCATGTTTGTTAACATGCATTAAAAAAACTATTTTTGAACATAAACGTACCATAGGTTGTTGTGGTTGATCTTTCATTGTTTGTATTTGCGCAGTAATCTGATGTTGATGTTGTTGTTGTTGATCTTGCTGTTGCAATTGATGATGACTATGTTGCAATTGTTGCTGCTGCTGCTGCTGCTGTTGTTGTTGTTGTTGTTGATGATGATGTTGGTGTGTTTGTTGTGTCTGCTGCTGAGGTTGTTGTCCAAGGTGATGTAATTGTTGCTGATGTGTTTGCTGTTGCTGTTGGGGCAACTGTTGTTGTTGTTGTTGTGGCGATTGAGTTTGAGTATGCAATGAAGGTAAATGCTGATGTTGGGTTAGTTGAGTTTGCTGTTGTTGTAATTGTTGTTGTTGTGTATTTGGTATTTGATGTGATGATTGCTGCTGTTGCAAATGTTGGTGCTGTTGCTGTGTTGTCTGCTGTTGTTGATGTAATGAATTTATTTGCTGTTGCTGTTGTTGTTGTTGTTGCTGTTGTGCCGAACTATTTGCTAAAAGATTAGTGGCCGTTGCGCTTGTCGTATTTGGCGAAGGATGTGGCACATGTGTCGCAGATGCTCCTATTCCTGGTCCAGATGCCGTTGCTGCAGCCGGACTGATAGCTGAATTAGCAACCTGACGTGGCGAATGGACAATGGAGGTAACATTTATTTTACTTAGCTTTGCAGATGGTTTCCGCCCACGAGTCTGTAAAACAAGATAAAAAAATTAAATTAAAATCGATCAATATGTATTTTTTTTGGGGCGAATTTTAAAAAATTTTCACATACGGTGCTATGTGTACATGAAATTTAATATTTAAGTAAATTTTAAGCCTCTTATTGCAATACAACGTTATCTACTCGAATGCTTCTGCATAATTATTTTTCCATAATTTTTACCTATTTAACTTTTGTCAATAATATTTCATTTTTATTAATTTTTATTAATTGTAAGTGTAATAGCATAGAAAAATGCTGCCTAGAGTCTTGATTCTATTAATTTTCTTAATTCTACTTAATTCTTTAAAATTTACAATGGTATGCGATTTGTTGATAAAATTGTTATTATCCTTTTAGCTGCATCTTCGATGGGTTGTTTCACTTTGTTAACTGTAGTAGACCTGCTTTGTGAGAGGGTACTCAGCTCGTATCTCAATAACACCTAACGAAATTCCTTTTATTGTTTTCCGTTTCTATATTGAAATTTTCTCAACTTTAAAGCTTCAAACAATAGAGAGAGAGAGAGAGAGAGAGAGAGAGAGTTGCATAAGCAACTTTATACTAATCAGAAGATTATATGGATTGCGTTACACCTCCGTTGGATCCTTCTAAGCGCTGCAAACTGTATACATATATGACGGTAGTATGACTACTTAAGTACTATGCGCTGAGCGGAATATTTGTTATTATTATTCCGTCAAGAAATCTTAACCTATTAATTATTATTCATTTTAAATCTTATGGAGAAACTTTGAGCATATTTCTATAAATCATGCTTCTCTAGCTTTACATGGATCTGCGATGGCCTTATGTCTTCGCATGTCTAGATGTTCGCATACATTTACTAAAGAGAAGAACATAAAAACTTAATTTTAATAAGAAAATTGATATATATATATATACATATTAAAATATGTTTCGTTTTGCATTTTGAGAAAATTAGTGCAAAGATTATTTGGTATTTGTTATTTATGAAAAAAATTTTTTATTGCAAAATATTAAACAAATTAAAATCATAAATCATCAAATGAATATAAACAGAAAATAAAAAAGCCATAAATTTTCATTTTTTCCATTTATTTATTTACTTATTTTTCTTTTCCATAAACAATTTTTATTAATAATAAACATGACAAAGGAAATAAAGAAAAAGAAATATGAAAGCAGAAAAAAAAAAAAAAAACAGAACTCTGGCAAGAAGAAAGAAGAGCAAAAAAAAAAAAAAAAAAAAAAAAAAAGAAAAAAAAAAAAAAACAGCTTGGAACCAATTAAAATTATATTTACAGAGTATTAAAAAATATGTAAAAAGCTTAGGTATTGTAAGAGGGAAAAGGAAAATGGGAAGGTGTAGTCAATTTATTTTCTTTCCTTATTCTTCTCCCCATACTGCAGACATACTATATACTGCTTGCTATCTATATATGTCTATGAAAATGTATTTATATATGCATGCATGCATATGTGTCTGTTCTTGACTCTTTTTCATCCATGCATTGCGTACTGCTCGCACTACGAAGTACAATATCAATGGCATTTTTAGATAAAAAATGCAACAGCAGCAGCAGCTGTTTCATATCTGTTATGCTGAAGACACTAGCGCGTACACGCGTATATATATATATATATGTATATGTATAGGATACACAAGAAAGGCAATAAATTAATATCATAAATTTTAATTTTACACTTTGTTTGACTAATAAATACCTACGCATAGGCACGTGTACACGTATATATATGCGTATATGAAATTTCTCTTGTATGTTGATTACGAAATGCAGCCACGTAATTTTAAGTTTTCATATTTTCATATGATTTCCGCCAAAAGTATTAACTTTAATTAAAGTTAACATTCTCACGAATTTTGGTTAACTTAATTATTATGAAGAAGAGATATCTCGACTGCAATCAGTCGTTCGCAAAAGAACTTAGGCATATTAAATTTCACATTCTACTGGGAACAGTCTATGTTTATTCTGTCCGCCTTTCCTGCACGATAATAAAGTTCTAGGCATCATTATGGCATATTTAACGACGGGACATACGCGGGACCGGCGACATCAATTCGAAATGAATGGTCGCGTGAACAACGTAGGCATGCCAAAGAATATTGCATATCGTATATTGATTGCAAATTTCGACGTGTGAAGGTTGTGCGTAAAATGATTCCTGGTTTCTGTCGCAGTGGAACAAAACCGGCTCAGCAGTCACGTAACCGCTATAACGGTAACTAAAATCAAAAAGTTAACGTTCGAATTGCTTTCTCATATATTCTATTCGCCAAATTAAGTCACCCTTTGCATTATTTTCTTTTCATATATTTGAAAACATGGCTTGACATTAAAAGATTTGCCCATAATGAAGACATCGTATCTGTGATAGATAACAATTTTAATGTGTTCGATTGTTTTTGACTGTAAATAGGCCAACGAAACTATTGAACATCTTTGGAACAAGTGGTATTGCACTAGGGGGACGATATTTTGAACCATAAAGATAGGTTTATCAACATTTTTTGCCGGATCGAATACTTGTGAGACTAACCTCGTACTAAGCAATTTGACAGAGATACTTATTATGGCACGTCTACAATTAGTGTAAAATTCCGCTGTTTTCCTTTAATTGCTAATCTAAAGAAATTACTGAGTATTCGGTCAGGCAAAGTTCATGTACACTGTACTCGTGTGGGCAGTTGACTTCTTACATCAATCGACACTGTCTTAAATGAGACTCAATATGTTGTTTTCTTTTAGAGCAAGAAGTATGTAGCTTTTATCTTAGATATGAGATATGAAAGATTTGCTCATATGATAAATGAATATACAATAAATACATTTGTGTTTGTTTTTGTTGTTGTTGTTGTTGTAAAAAAAATCAAATAAAAGTTAGCGTATTATGGGATAAATTTGTATACATATCGAAGTTGTCCCAAGCGCTGTTGAATTTAAATTGAAATATAAACGAGAGCAAAGCATTTGTGAATTTAATTTTGTATGAAAATTTTCAATCAAAATAATGCCGGAAACACAATGAAATAAGCGGTAGGGCATATGTATATATATATATATATGCATATATATATATATGTATGAGAGAAGACAAGCAAGTAAATGGAACGGCGGAATTGTAGTAAACATATCAACAAATTACCGCTTAAAACAATTTTTACGTTTTGTAGAGCTTGACGGTAAGAAGAGTTGATAAAAAAAAAAAAAAAAAAAAAAAAAAAAAAAAACAAACGATATATTTGATTTGGGATGAATATTTTCATACTCGTAAGGTATTTGCAAAACAAATTGTTGGACTTTGCTTACCCGAAAAATTTGTGCTATGAAAATCTAAATTTCATACGAAGATTTCTTTAGTGATACGCGAATAGTTTCATAATTATTTAGAGAAATATACATACTCTCTGCATGCCAATATATTATCGGGAGAGAACAGAAGTGTGCTACATTTGTCGCTGTACTTCCGTTTTTTTTTTTTTTTTTTTACTTCCTTTAGAAAGTTTACAAATCTTAAAAACCGTGTATTTTTAAAAGGATCTAAACATCGCTTATTTCGAAATCAGCAGATTCGTTTTTGTTGTTGTATTATCTAATACACGTACATATATTTCATTTAATAGTCTTGCGTTGATGTTCCATCAAAATGAACAGAAAATGTAGATAAATAAAATATTATGCAATAATACGTAAATTGGTTTGTGTTTGTAGGATGAATTTCGACAACTATATAAATTTTTCGATCGGTATGAGATTCTAAGTCCACTTAAGCGTATATCATGTTATCAGCGAATACTTTTCGTAAACGTTAACAAATGTTAACAACAACGAATAAGTTTTTCTCGCTTCTCAGCTCGTTTGCACTGTGTTTGTCCCTCAAAGGCTGCAATAATTGTGGAAAACTAATCGAAATGTTAAATGTATATTGATGTGTTAATCGACTTTACGGAAATTCTGACAATCAAGAAAAAAATTATGATGCAAATTCGAGTTTAATTATTTATATTATATACAGGGTGATAGAACGCTATACGATTCATGTTGTTCGTCAGATCCAGTTAAAAGTTCAGTAATGCTACTGCCAAATTATCGAGAAAAAATATATAGTTGCTTAGCATACAGAAAGTGTTAAAGTGTTGTTACATTCCGTGCATGGAAGATGAAGCCCGTGTTTCGCTAAATGATTTCGTCATTGCATAAGAATGCAAAAAAATGAAAAATCCGACTTGTCGTTCTAACAAGACCTTTACGTCAATAAGAATTGATTTTTGGATGCGACTTGTGGACTGAAAGTGTCGTTTCTAAGCATGCAAGTGACATTGAAGAAACACGATTAGTGATTTGCCGTAGCATGAATTAGATATTTTGGACTGGAATGATGCATATTGCCATACATCTGATGGCCCAATCGATTTATTGTTGTAAAAGTTCAATGACTGTGTAATTTCTAAAAAAATGCCCACGTGAGCTTGCCACTGAGATCACGCGTGTTATGTTATGTAATTCGCTTACTTACAACAGATCATAAACTTTTAATGGCTTTATTTTTCAAAATTATTCGTCTTGTTGGTGAAATAAAAGCAAATTCATGTGGAAAAGTGCGGCCATTTACATGAAATCATTCTTAAGTAAAAGTAGCGTAAGGTGACATCTAAAATAAGTGAAAACACTGTAGTGGGATACGGTCTACCATTAAATACGCGACACCACCCACTTTGTTTAATACTTTTATTCATATATGATGACTTATAAAAAGATTTATAAGCAGATAACGAGTAAGTCGAAATTTTTCAACGCGAAAAAGAATGCATGAGAGGTGAAGTCATGATATTTCCTGAAACGAAAATCAGATGTGCGTAGGGAAAGATCTTGTATATTGAAGTGTGACTGTATGCAATTTAGTATTAGTATTAGTATTTGTTCTTTGATCAGTGCAATATGAAAATGGATATATTCTCTCATTTGCCGAGGACGCTATCAC